ACGGCCATTTTCCAGTAATCAGGAAATCAATCATCATCATCCGAGTACTGACTTTCTTTTTAGAATCACTAAGATTTCGACCTATATATACATATTGAAATATATAAATATCATATCCGACATTCGTATCCAATTTGATATAGTGTAGGAGTGATATTACCCATACCTATTATTTGTTGCGTTCACGCATATACTTAGCATCTACAAGAGTAAACTGAAAGAGAGAGAGAGAGAGAGAGAGAGAGAGAGAAAGGTCAATATAATTTTAATACATGTCTCACTCACGCCCTCGCTCTCATACTCACAGAGGCATTAAGATTGGTTCTTGGGGATGATTGGCCCCTTAGATCGCTCTGCCTTCTTGTATAACGTTTTAAAATAGTTGTCTGGCAAACATAATATATAAAAATGGAGCTTCAGAATTTAAGTGAAATTGAATAATTTTTTGAGAGCTTTAAAGCGTCTGCAACCGACGGAAAGTGTCTGGAAGTATTAATGACTTGATTTTTAACATTATTATCTAACATATATGTAAAAATCAGCTGGGAGGCTTAAAATAAATAAAATGAGGTGAGTAATGTTTTTACGTACCTTGATCACCTGATACCTGGAAAATGGCCGTCCGGCGAAGCTAGCTCAATAACTCAATCTTATACATTTCATTCGTCAGAAAATAAGTGACGTCTAGTGGCTCTGGGATCTTGCATTTTTTGTGGTGTCCGGATAGGAAACTTGATTTAGTTGATGATAGGCATGTCGAACTGCGCGAAAATCGATCTCCGATCCGATTCGAAGATATTTGGAACGATTTTCGATTAAATCGATTTTCGATTAAATCGGACATAAAAGATCAATTTTCTATTAATCTGGACATTTTCAAACATGCCTAATATTAGACAGAACAATATTGATGATAATTTATCGTAAATACAAGTAATTATGAAAATCCGAAGCAGCAGGCGGAGGCCCTCAATGACTTGAACATACACTTCTATTCTGCTTCGCATCTGCATTATTCCACAAAAGTTAAGACTCCCCAGGAAATTAATTCCATGCCTTTTTTATCTTATCGAGTTATTCTTTCAACTTCATTTAAGTAACTGATGAGGATTTTTTTAATATAGGAGGGGTAAACGAGCATGCGGCTCATGCATGATGTCATGAACAACTGCAACACCAGGGGAATTGCAGATGCGTTATCGGCCTTTTAAAAAGAATAGGCTCTTCCCTTGAAGATCCAAGGTGAGAGCCCTGAAACTGAGGATATGAGAGGAACCAACCAAGGGGTTCTTTTTAGCGGTAAACGCGCAAACTTGTCTTCTGGGGATTGAATTGGGTGAGGTTTAGTCGCCCCCATTCCGAAACTTTGTACAACTAATTCTCGACTTCAGACGCAAGCTTGTCCCAGTACTTGGTGACGTTTTCTCGGAGAAATACTAGCACGGCCGATATATCCAATATCACCAGTGCTGCCGTCCGCATAGCAATTAATGTTACCAGGTTACAACATATCATTGATATGCAGAAGAAACAACACCAGCGTTAATGAGCTTTTAATCGAAGTATGCACCGTCTACTACGACCTTCATGCTCTGATCAGCCAGAAAACTGGTAATCAAATTACGCAATTTTTCGGGAAGCCCATAAGAAGGAAGTTTCGAAAGAAATTTTTTACGTGGTAGAGCCATACTGCAGTTTATAATATGGTTGTAGCACGAATGGGTTGCATCGACCAGGGATGGACCATGCTCTCACAGAATACCAGCATAAAATAGCAGCCTAATACTGCTGTGTTTTGTATGGTGAGTGTGGAGATCTAGAGACCGTTTTTTACTTGAAACGAGGCATTTCATCTTAGTCCTCAGGGGTGTATCTGCGTTTCGATACTTAATCAGGATTAATGTAGATGTCTATGGGACACAGCATCCTTTTACCATCAGGTGGACTTTGTGCTCGTTTCTTTCCCTCTCCCTTATTCGATTTAAAAAAGCGCAAAACCCGATCGAAGGCCTTCACTATGTCAAAACTAACTGCCAAAGTCTTCCGTTTGGACGTAATCGCCTGGGCCCATCGATGTGTTAGATAAACAAGAAGATCACCAGCTGAGTGACCCCAGCGAAAACCGTACAGGTAGTCACCAATCAGCTGGTACCACATGAACAAGATGTTAATAATGGACTCCATTATTTTGAAGAACAAGTTGATGGTCATAGAGCTGTAGTTGGATGATCAGGGTGGTTACCATTTTTAGGGTTTGGGTGCATGAAAGCCGTTTTTCATGATTTTGGGACTATGCCCAGGAAGTGGGAGTACCGAGGAAAAGACGCGTTAGAACCAGTGACAACTCTGAAGCTTACGCCCTCCGCACAATTGGGGGGATTCCGTCAGGCCCACTCAACTTGTAGATGTCCGGGAAGAGGAGTGCTTTACGTAATGAGCACTGTGTGTATTTCACATCAGGCATGAAACCTCCGTCATCGAGAGTCAAGTTGGACGCAAAAGAGAGCCTAAAAGATCAGCTTTCTCTTTTGCGGTGTCGGTTAGTGTGTCGGCCTCCCTGTGCATAGATATAGTAGTGACGGTTTACAGAAATTCCCTTGGACAGCCTTGGAAAGGAAATAGAAATCACGGGTTCCCGATGGAAGGTGAACTAATTTCTCGCCAATTCTGCCACGTGCTTTACCTTGGTAGTAACTCTTTTAAAAAACTTAGAGGTGAAGTTATACTTCTTTTAGGTTTGCTGGTGTTTACATCCCGAGCGGCTGAAGCGTCAACCTAGACCTGATAACACTCCTGCTTACTGTATAATGCAGTCTTACAGGAACGACCAAACCAAGGTTTAGATCTGCCTCCGATTTGTACTAAAGATGATAGAATAAATAGTTCCTTTCCCTGTAGCGCTACATCAGTACCAGAGTCAGAAACAGCGCTGAGATTATCCGGCGAGAAGTATACCTGCATGGGCAAACCCAAAGGGCAGGATGCAAAAAAAGACCGTATTCCGTCTCATTGAGCTAACCTGTGACCAAACACGGCAGCAACGCGGCATCCTGCAGAACGCAGCCGCGAAGCGAGCGTGAATGGCATCACTCTGGATCAGACAATGATCCCAAGAGCGGAGAGCTGCGTTGACGGAAACCTGATATCCGTCCAGATGAGAGGTCAGCAGAAGAACCAACAGGGAACGCACGTGATCTTTCACATCTAGAATCCGCGTAGGTGAAGTAATCCGTTGTGTTAGACCAAAGTCATAAACAGATCTCCCCGCATGATTGTTTAAACGTGAACCGAGCAATTCAGCGCGGTGGGCGTTAAAATCACCTAGTATCACTATCTCTGCAGATGGAATTTGTTGTAGCAAGGAATCTGTAGCCATTTGGACATGGTCAATTATTCGATCTGATTCGACATTATCGCTATGGGTTCTATATAGGCACCTGTAGACGCGCGGATGGTCATCAATGTATACGCGTAGTCAAAAGATAGAGAGGTCCGTACCTTCAAGACTGCCGAGGCGTCGAGATCAGATGTACTCTCTGACGTATACGCAAGTTCCAGCCCACAAAGAAGTGTTCTAATCTGTACCCCGGGTAGAACAGGTACGAAGTAACAGCCGGAGAGGACACTTGCGTCTCGGTCAAAAAGAGCATGGCTAGCTTCTCAAGCTCTAGGTGGTAGTGGACGGCGTTAAGGTTTGAATGAATTCCCCTGTTGTTGCAAAAGTCCACGGCTAGCGTGGTAGGTAGTAGTCGCTATGGTTATATCGCTTTATTTGCCTCGTGCAGTGTTAGTATTGAAGGATTTTCCCCCGCCCCCATAATAGGCGAAGCAGCCTGAGCATCCACACTCAGGAAGAGAAGGGTAGGTTGGACGTGGATGCTTAGTGAGAGATTCTTCATTACCAGGGGTGCTAGTACCCTCCTGGGGTAGTCTTTTATTTTTAAATTCCGTTACCTCCAAGTTATGGCTTATGGCTAATTTAAAGCTTTTGCCTTGCCCCTTGATAAAGTACCAAATCCATTGCTTTCTTCCCATTTTATACCTATTTCTGTACCGCCGTTTCCTCAGCTCTTGAATCATTGGTAAACAAACAAGTTACCTCTATCATTTAGAAAGGCAACTTTCTTAGTAAATATTAGTCTGGCTTCCGCCCAGGACACAGTAACACCACAGCATTACTTCAACTTAGAGAAGACTTTAGAGAAGGCATGGAGTGGTTATGTTTGACTTTTATTGTCCTTATTGACTTTTCAAACACATCCAATTACGTCGATCACGACTACCTCATTGAATTACTTTCACGTTTAAATTTATCCTCGTCAGCACTAGACGAAGTTATGTCATACGTCCCATGGACATAGGAGTGACCCTATAGCCGTACACCGGACACAAATCCAGACTCTGAGCTACTACTGGGAATTTGAATTTAGAAAAACCCAAAAATACTTTCCTCAATCCGGGGATGGAACTCAGGTCTTTTGCTCAGCAGTTGCGCTTGGGACAAAAGTTTTATAACAAATTAACAAAAAGTTTTCTTTGTTAAAAATTTTATTCGAGTAACTTTAAAAAACATTATTAATCTAATCCCTCGGGATCTAGACGACTCCTTTCGTCACTAACAATATTTCCCCCAAACAAAAAAGCCATTAACAAAGAACAGATTTTCCAACTGGAAAATTGTGAAAGCCTTTTGAAAGTCTTTTTATGTAGGTATGTTAAAGTATTTCTATTCTATTCTAAATAATCGATTTCAGATCGACATGTCTATGGTAGCAAAATTTACAGCACATACTCTGTGTCTGTGGTTGTTAAACACAAATAACAAATCTATGACAAATAATTTGTGACAAATTAGATAATTATATTTTAAATTTATATTCTAATAATTTTAAGCTTAAAAACTGTATGTACCGAATATTTTAATTTTAGTTAATTATCTAGTGATGAAATCTATTAGAATAGTTAAAAAAACACTTGCAATGGCGTTATTTATAAGTGTAATGTGGTTATTAATTTTTTGGAGCAATATTGGAATATTAAGGTATGTATTTATTGTATTAAAGTATATTTAATTTATTTAATTTCATTTCCACGTTATGTAATAATATAAATGTTATTTGAACTTAAGCTCATCTTATTTTGCTAGTTTGAACAAAGGAAGGATGTCTTGGGTCTCTATCCTGAATTTCTCACGATTTTTTCCCACTTTATAAACTAAGCATTTGTAAGAGCATTTATCTTACTTTACTGATTAATGTTAAAATATACAGTCACAGGAACTTCTAAATGTAGAAAATAAGTGTTAAAGACAAACAAGGGTATAACTTTCCACTGACATCCTTCAAATTGAAGCTGGGAAGGGTGGAGGTGGGGGAGCAGGGGAGATGTACTACTCCCCCTTAAAAGGAAAAGTTGCGGAGCTCCCCCCCCTTTTCGAGTTTTTTCATTTTTAATTCTGAGGAAATTTTCCTCATTTTATGGATAAATATTAAGTGTATAAAATCAAGGGGACCTCTTGGGGGGAAGGGGGTACCCACTAAGGAAGGGGGAACCCCCTTCACCAAAAATAAATAGAGGGACTCATTCAGAGGGATCTCTGTATCTATTTTGAGACTGCAACGTCTCTGTCGCTGCGGGAAGAGCTGCCTCCTGTTACAAATCGTAGGCATTGGACGAGCCGGAGCAACTGAGGCTGGTCGGTCGTAGGACAGACTCGTACCGTGTGGAGTCGGGGTCAATTAATTCGGTTCCTTGACATAAGTTGAACCTAACCTATTTTATTTGTTATCTGCCCTAATAGGTGGGTACTGTTTTATACACATTTTTTATACATATGTTTTATACAATTTTATACACATATTGCTTTAATTAATTCTTAGAAATCATCAGTTTTACATTGCCACAAGCTGGCAAAATACAGTAAACACTACACATATTAATTTTAATAGCTTGTAATAATAATAATTCTGTAGTTTATATATATAAACTGTTAAATATATGTGTATGCATGAAAACCATTGAAATGAATACAAAATATTATTATTTACGTAATTTTATGTACAATAAAATGCTACCGAATGTATGACGACTTAACCGTACGTAAAACGAATGTTCAATGGCGAGAATTCGATATAATCTGTGGTAAGTATTGACGTAAGTTTAACAATAATTTTTTTCTCAAAAAGTATGCGTTTCTGCATGTTGAAATTTTGCGTGTGTGCTTACAATAATGTAACCTTTCTATAAAAAAAAATATCATATAATCTGAGGTAAGGATTGACATAAATATAACAAAAATAATTTCAATAACTTTTTCTCAAAAAGTACGCGTTTCTGCATGTTGAAACTTTACGTGGGTGCTTATGTAACCTTTCTGTAAAAAAAATATCAACCCCCAACTCCACAGACGTCAATGGAAAGCTTAGCCCATAACTTACATTACTAACATTATTTTTGCAGTGCCTACCTAGCAAATGGAATAAATACTATTTCTTAGCTTATAAATTACAATCCATTTATCATTTAAAAAATTATATAAAAATTGACAGCGACTATGAGCCTCAAAATATACTAAAAGTTGACAAAATGAATCTTTCTTACTTTTTTATTTTTTCTTGACAACTAAAACAAACTGAATAAATAGAATGACTTTGGAATGAATTTATAGTTTTGTTAACCACTTATATCAAGTTTATTAGAAAATTCAAACTATAATACAATCTGCTGATTTAAAATTAAAACATTCATTTATCTTATAGTTACAACTTTTTCTTTTTATGGTAATGAAATACTAAACTAATATAATATAACATTTGTTTACACATAATATTAAAAAAAAACTATAATAAAGAAAAACTAAAACTATAACTTAATTCTGTATATAACTGTAGAAAATATTCTGTAAAGACCTTAGTCATTTGCATACTATCTATTGCCTAGGTACTTTATTTGAATATCACACACATGTAGTATCATTTATACACTCAATATGACCTTCAGACCCAGTACTTGTTTTAGATTCTGTACTATGATTCAACAATAAAATTAGTAACACAATAATTGTCTTTTAATTCTTTATCACCTAAATTTTCTAATCAATTTGTTATGACTGATCCTGTATTTTCATCCAAGACATTCAATATTTTCCACCACATGCTACATAGTGGTATACATAAAGCACCATCTATGTCTATGAAGGAGCCTAGACATATTGCTTTGTTTTGGATGGCCTCTTCAATCTTTGTTATTACCTGGTGAAGTGCCGATTCTGTTGATTTACCTAAGCTATAGGCGTGTTGTTTTTCATGCAGTGGTAAGTTAATTAGCGCCGACCCTCTCAACTCCCGTTCACACATCCTCTCCATCGTCTTTAGGAGAAAGGATGTGAGGCTAATAGGTCTGTAGGATTTAGGGTCTGTATAGTCGTTCTTACCTGGTTTGGGTATGAACGTGACTTTCACTTCCCTCCATCCCCTAGGAACATATTTAAGAGCCAGACATGCTCTCATTATGGCAACAAGTCTGACTATTAGGACTTTACCCCCCCCCCCCACTGTAGAAGTGCCGGGAATAAGCCGTCAGGTCCTGCTGCCTTATAGGGTTGGAAACTGAATGACCCAATGGATTTTGTCCATCGTCACCACTCTTTTCCAGTCTTCTTCTGTTAGTGTCAGTGCACCTTCATGCCTGTTCACCCTTTCAACTATATAGCAACCTGGAAAGTGAGTGTAAATTAGGATGCGTTGGGTTTCATCCGGCGATGTTAAGTAGCTTCCGTCAGGTTTCAGTAGATCGACGTTCTGTTTAGCTAGGATTTTCCTTATCCGATTTGCTTGTTCACAGGTTTCTATGCTACCTCAGAATTTGCGCCACCCTATTGAGCGTCGATACCTGATATATTTTTTGTATTCTGACTTAGCTTTCTTATATAGAAGCCAGTCTTCATCCTTTGAGGTATTCATTGCCCTATTTAGGGCTTTTCTTACCTTCTTACGTTTCCTGTCTAGTTCTTTACCCCACCACTGTTGCTTTTGCTCAGCCTGTTTTGGTGGAGTGATTACTGGACATGATTCATGGTAGCTATCGATCATGGCTTTAGTAACAGCTGCTACCTGATCTTCTAGGAGCGATTGATCTGCTATGGTATTAGTTCCCCCAACACCCGCGAGCGAAGACGTCAGCCTATTGAGTTATTTTGTTATATCCATTCATCCCCGCATATGGCGCTCAACTGCGCAGGTCCTAGCGCAGGTGGATGTGTTAGTCCACCGGATACACCAACTCTCTCCGGCGGAACCGTTCCCTCCTCTTTTCCGGGCTTGGGACTGGCAGCAACAAAAAGCATTGACAAAGTTAGTTGCCCGTGCTTCCTGTTGCAGGCAGAGTTCGTAGAGTGTACTTTAAAGTTATCTTAAAGTTATTTAAAAAACAACAATTATTTATTAAAGATGCATGTAAGTAAAGTATATGGTAAGAAAAAAATATGGTTATTAATACCTACAGATATGTTATTTTTTATTTAAAATTTTATATTTTTGTATTTAATTTAAATCTACATTATACAATAATTCGAATAATAACAAAATTTATAAAAAGTCAATTTTTTTGGTTTGCTAGACATTTTTAAAACTATATTGTGTAGTACTGTCTCTTTCTAACATTGTATTAGGAGATTATATTGCAAAACAGAAATTATGGATATTCTAATGAAAACCGAAAACTAGGCTCTGGTATAAACTTTTATGTAATTATATTATTTCCTCTTAATAATATATAATAAACAAGGGATAGTAATGTACCAATATTAATTAATATAACCATGACTTCTGTTAACTTTGCCTAAAATATGAAAGCACTTATTAAGTAATTTCAGTAACGGTAGGTTGAGATGTGATGGAGTATATGGAAGTGCAGGGGTGCACGCCTCAACCCGTGGCAGGATGCTAAAGCGTTTCCAATTATTAGAATTTAAGTTTGATATACCCACTAGATGGAGTCATGACCTGGTAAGACATCCAGGATTTCGATAGATGTGGCATAGGACTCTGTTTTGTGGTGTTCCTAGGGTGACTTAGGTGAGTTGTTATTATTATAATTATCATGAACGATATTTAAGAGAATTAAATTTGTAACAAGCGCACATCAAGGGGGGGTTCAAAGAAGTAAACTATTTAAACCAAAGCAATTTTATGATCGTAAAGTCGTTTCAGAACCCATGGGATTAAATATCTGACAATGAAGTGGATCATACAGTTACAGATAAGCAGAGCAAGCAGACTATGTGTATGTTAAATTTACTTCGATAACTAAACTAATGGACTGAATGATTTATAAAACTAAGTAGCTAGGGACGTTCAATTAAAGAATGGTACAACTATGCATTTATCTACTATTTACAACATTGCAGCAGTATTAAACTATAATCTAATCTATCCTATAGGGATCACTGAAAGGGATTTCTTCTTTGTTCTGATGCTTGTTGCTCCACTCGCCATCCGTAGCAATTCTTCCTTCCCCCCCCCCCCGCGTCGTCCGCAATCTTTTTTGGGAGGATGGAGGGATTTCCCTTACCGACCTCAGCAGGCCGCCACGTGTTCTTATCCATGTTGTGAACTACCTTGTCAGGTCCGGGAAAAGTCTTTGTGGCAACCGCTCTTGGCCACACGTTTCTGGGAAGGTGACGTCTACGATTACGACGAGGTCGTCTTCCTTCACTTCTTTCTGCTGGGCGTTCCTCGATTCTCCTCGTGGGACTAATGTGGGAAGGTACTCTCGTACCCAGCGTCGCCAATACTCGTATGTCAGTCCTTGTGCAGCCCTCCATGTTCGTCGATCCGCCGATGAGCACGTCGCGGTGACAGGAACGTTTGAAAGTCCCGGCACGAGGAATTGGTTGAGGGTTAGGGCCTCTTGGTCGTTGACTTCTACTGGCACGTGAGTTAGAAGTCTGGAGTTTATTGTTTGTTTCTCTGCTTCTGTTACATTGTGGCTAAGGTCTTGGTTGAACGCAAGAGTCGTTCCCATGCACCTCCCTGGTTGGGCGTACCCGGTGCGATGAATTTCCAGTCTGTTGCCCACTTCTCCATGGTCCGTCGCAGCTCTGTGTCTGACCAGTGGAAGTTGGTCCCATTATCTGAATAAATTACCTTAGGCCACCTGAGCCTACCTGCCATGTGTCTTAGTGCCGTGATTACCGAGTCTGTGGTTAAGCCGTGTATTAATTTTACCGCGCTCGTCGTTAGACAAGTGAATAACGCCACCCACCTCTTTTCGTGCCGCCGCCCTATCGTTACCGTTAACGGCCCGAAATAATCCAACCTGGTGAAGTAAACGCGAACATCTCGGGAGGCAAGTCTCCTATAACCGCCGGTGGTGGTGTCGCCTTTCGAATTCTACAGCGTATTCACCTTCTTTCGATCTCTCTAACCGTCGGTCGCAGTCGAATGATGTTGTACATCATATGCAGATAATTGACCACCCATTCTCTATAGGCATGGCTGGCGCCCTGATGTGTCTTCTTCACGAGCAGTTTCACGAACTGGTGTTATCCATCCAATGTGATTGGTCGTTTCATTTGGTCATTTACATCAGCTGCGTTTATTCTGCCTCTTGCTCAGTATCCCATCTTCCATTGGGTCTAGCTTCCTTAAGGCGCTGCCGTTGTATATGTTTTTGTTTTGACAGAGCCGGGTGATGTCATCAGCGAAGCTTTCCTACTGACTACGTGCTATCCACTGGCGCTCTACTTTCTCGACGTGTTGTAGGGTCAAACCTCGAGCCCGCCCTCGTACGATGACGACGACTTGGATCACTTTTGCAGTGGCTCTTAGTAGTTTTTCGTAATAAGAGGATCTATTTATATCTGGCAGGGGTGGTGTGTCTTCTATTCCACGATGATGCGCCACGATCTTTTCCATGTCTTCGGTTCCTGCCATTTCGTGTGGTTGCTGCGGCCACTCCTTGTCTTTCTTGTGTAGAAATGCCGGTCCGGTAAACCACAGATCGCTAGCGTGTTTCACTACGAAGTTCATGCGTGTCGCCTGGTCTGCTACGTTCTGGACAGTTGATATCCATTTTCATTTATCAGGTAATGTCTTTTTCGCTATCTCGCCGAGTCTATGTGCGACGTATGAAGTGTAACGCGCTGTATCGTTCCTTATCCAGTGGAGTGTCGCTGTAGAGTCCGTCCAATATACGATACTGAAAGTTCTTAGAAAATCAAAAACTGAACAAACTAGCAAGTTCTGAGTTTTATTTAATCTTTTTAAAATAGTTTCCATCTACATCAATACATCGCAATAGAACCACTAAGAAAGGCACTTTGCCCACTTATGTAATTTATTTTCAGTACCAAGGATCTCAGGGAGCCACCTCGTTGATCCGAGGTACGAAGCTCTGTAGCTGGCAACCGCTCAATCAAGAAAAACGTGAGATGCTGTTTCCTCATGTCCCATGCAGGGCTACCCGTAACACGTAAAGCAAAGAGATGTGTGTGTGTGTGTGTGTGTGTGTGTGTGTGTGTGTGTGTGTGCGTTGCGTGTGCGTGTGCGTGTGCGTGTGCGTGTGCGTGTTCGTGTGCGAGTGCGTGGTGTGTGCGCGTGCGCGTGCGCGCGCGCGTGTGTGTGTGGGGGGGGGGGTGGGTGTGTGCGCGTGCGTGCGTGAGTGCGTGCGTGCGTGCGTGCTATGTTTGTGTGTGTGTGTGTGTGTGTGTGTGTGTGTGTGTGTGTGTTGTGTTGTGTGTAAGTATGTAAACCATTTCATAACTTTTGAACGTCTAAAAATATTCCTAAAGTATTTTAATTATCTAGCGGAAGATACTTTAAAATTATTATTTGCATGCTCTAAATGGCTACATCTTTTTATACCGTTATTATTGCAGATAAAGATTTATGACTAATGTTTAGGTACAATTAACCATTGACAAAGTAATACAAGTATACGAGGGCGGCACTGAAAATTTCGGGAATCAAGGAAGTGACACAACATTACTATTTAAAAATATATTTATTGCTTTTTGAAGTATTCTCCGCGAAATTTGACACATTTTTCCATACGATGGAACCAATCATTGAAGCAACCATTCCATTCGGAAGTTGGGGTCTCCAAAATGGCCGTTTTGTAGGCTTCTTCAGGTGATGAAAATCTCTGTCCACGCAATTTATTCTTTATTTTAGGGAAAGTATAGAAATCATTAGGGCTTAGGTCGGGGCTGTACGGCGGATGGTCTAATAATTCTATGTTTTCTTGCTCTAAAAACTCTTTTGTTCTGTGTACGGTGTGAGAACTCGCATTCTCTTTACGGAGTACAGAAACGACCTGTGGCAAACAAATGCTAGCATACCATTCTGCATTAACCGTTCTTTGTCCTTCAAGAGGAATAGTCGTAACATGGCCGGTTTTGGAGACAAACGTGGCCACCATTTTTTTGCAACACTCCGTGAACGAACAATTTTTGTTGGCTTTAACTCATTTTCGAACACCAAAACTCGTGACTGGTTTTTTGTTTCGGGTTCGTACGCGTATATCCAGGATTCGTCACCATACGATGTTGTATACAGCATTTGAGGATCCTGCGTGGAATCTTTCGAGAGTTCTGACGCCAAGTACCGCGAGCCGCTTTTTGCTCTTCACAGAGCGAATGCGGTATCCATCAAGAAAACAACTTTTTACATCTAATTATTCATGCAAGATTATTTGTATTTGACTCATGCCAATTTCTAAAGTTGCCTGAATTTCGCGGTATGTCACATGTCGATCTTCCTCAATCAGCTTACGCACAGCATCAACGTTTTCTTGGGTGACTGCAGTTTTTGGAAGACCTTGACGGGGATCAGCACTGAGCTTGACACGTCCACGTTGAAATTCAGCAAACCAGCGATAAATTGTGGTTTTGGATGGGGCTTCATCACCAAATGCAGAAATAATCCGGTCAACACACTGTTTTGTGTTAAACTACTTCGAAAGTTATAATAAAGTAATTTTCTCGTGTCAATTCCATTTTTTCAACGACTAAAGAAGTTTGACAAAACCTTGTGACAAGACCGAGAATCTTTTTTTAAATAAATAATTGGTATTCGATTTCTAAAACCAAGGAGTTTTCAATTAAAAAGATTTTAATATGACAGGAACAGTGGAAAAATTCCATTCCCGATACTTTTAGTGCAGCCTAGTATGCAATAGTAATCAGTTACGAAAATAAGAGACAAATGAGACAAGATTTTGATTTTCTGTATAAAATAGAATAGCAAAGTTATGCTACTCGTATAATGTTAGAAGTAAATATAATTTTATTCAAAACCTTTTATTGTTATTACTACTTTCAGTCTGCCCTGTGTATAACCCCTATAGCCCTTATATGACTGACATCATATTTCTTCACAAATTTTGTACAATGTATTTATTGAAATTATAAAATGACATTGTCACAAATGATTACATTTTTAACATATTTGTGCTGTAATGATTATTTACGTTGTTAAAATTCTTGACTATATTAAGTGTTCAGGTTAAATTTAAAATATAGGTGATTGTAAGTCCTTTTAATTTTTTTCAGTTTTGAAAATGTTGACTCAAAGAGTATTCCATTGGCTGTGAAAAATAAATTATGCTTTGTAAACTATGCTGATGATCGACCCCACATAAGCAATAGCACCAATTTGAAAATGATATACTATGTGACGCCAACATACCCAAGACCGGAACAGGCTCCAGAACTAACAAGACTGGCACATACTTTAATGCATGTACCTCGGCTTCATTGGATCATTGCTGATGATCAACCAATTTGTTCTGAATTGGTTTTGAACATTCTCAGGTATCTAACTTCTTTTTTATGCATAAATTTGATACATGGTAGAGGCCATGCTACAGTTATATCAGAAGTACAGTTGTAGCACGAATGGGTCGGCTCGACTGGGGAAGGACCACGCTCTCACAAAATACCAGCGTAAAATAGTAGCTTAATGCTGCTGTGTTTCCCATGGCGAGTGTATCGGAGATCTTTTTACTGGAAATGAGGCATTCCATCTTAGTTCTCACGGGTGACAACGCATCTGCATTTTGATTCGTAATCGAGAATAGATGTAGATATATATGGGCCGCAGCAACCACTTACCATCAGGTGGACTTTGTGCTCGTTTGTCACCCTATACTATAAAAAAATATTATACAGGGTGTCCCAAAACTCGAATTCAACCCGGAATCGGGTGAAAAGATAAGTCGTGCATGCTTGGTTGTCAGAAAAATAAAAAAAATAAAAGTTGCATGTTTTCGAAATTCTGTAACAGTCTTTTACTCTTGTTGCCACAAACACGGTAGTTGTTATATTAGATATGTCGTATTCGTTTAGCGCTTGTACTTTATCGCACACTTGTAAAACTATAACTATGTGACCTCCACATTTAAAACACTTTTCGATAATCTTATTTCTATGATTTCAGACGTACCAATTTACCTTTTACCCATATCTCTAGTCCAAAGCCCTTCATTTACAAAGGTACTAACTTCCCTCGTGGCGTATCCAACCGCCGTGCTGCACTTACCTGGCTCCAAGAGAATGTCGGAGAAGGCATACTTTACTTTGGCGATGATGATAATACCGTGGACTTGCAACTTTTTGAAGAGATAAGAAATACAAAAAAAGTGTCTATGTTCCCTGTGGGCCTCATTGGTGGTTATGGAATATCATCACCAGTCGTCAAAAATGGGAAGGTAAGTAACGAACAGTTATTACGAATAAAGTCTGTAAATCAGCAACCGTTTTAACAAGAGCTGTGCCACAAATGTTATATACAAATAGGTCCTTAAATAAAAACAAACATTAATTAAAATATTATTTACTATAATGTAGGCCAAAAATAAGGAATCAAAAAAGTGTCTAAAGATGCACAATATTTTGTGGATCCGCATGGAATTAGCTTGGAATGTGTCAAACGGGTATTCTGATAGTATTAAGTATTCGTTGTACGAATACTGTTTCACTTTGAGCACATCCGGTGATTACTTTGGCCTTTATGGATTATTTAAACTCGACGGGATAACATAACATCTCTACATCATCAACTTGTTTAAGCTTTATATCTATAGCCTATATATGGGTAGGCCTTTTGCAGCAAGAAAATTTCATAATCTCATAGGAAATCAGAAACTGTATAGTCCCACAAGGATCATTTGGCACTTGCATGACATTGACATGAGGGCGTGGGTGTTCACTAATGGTTACCAGCTAAAAAAAATCCTTTGTTTTATGGAATTCGTCTTAATTATGGAGTATGGGGCTTGGCAGTATCCCAACTAATATTATAAATGCGAAAGTGAGTTTGCTTGTTTGTTTGTTACGCTTTCACGCCCTATCTACTGAACCGATCATCATGAAATTTTGCATACACGTTGGGAATGATGTTATGGCGAAAGCTAGTTGGGTTATATAACTAGGTTGTAAAATGGTTTTTGCAGGCTCAGGCTTACCATAAGGCAGGCATTATGCTTAGTTAAGGTAGCAACCTTAGTAGTATAAATTAAAAGAAGGAAATATTTGGATGACAGAATTTATAACATGAAAACTTTAATGCAATAGTAAACGAAATAAAAAACAATATTTCAAATTTTTTTACTATAATTATGTTCTGCATGAACTATGGCGAGAGGTTCAATGCTATTAAATTCTTCATCACTTTCATCTTGAGAATCGTCATCACTGCTTTCTTCACTCTCAGAGCATAATTCCACGATGAAAGGTGCATCCAAATATCCATCTTTACTTTTGTATTCTTCTTCAAGTTTCTTGACGTGGGCACAATGATTGCGCCATTCTTCGACGGGAATGGAATTAAAAGCTTCTTGTACCATTTCTGGCATTTCATTGGCTGGTTTGCCAATATTTACCTCAGCTACTTTGCGTTTCATTGATGCCCAGATCATTTCAATAGGATTGAGGTCACAATGATACGGTGGTAAACGCGATTTCTGAAAAAGAAAATAAGCAATTTTAAATAAACCCATAGTCATTTATTTTAATAAAAAATAACAATTTATGAAGTCACTTTACTAGTAGATTTAGTATTTAAGTCATGATTACCTTGTGACCCAGTCCTTTTAAAATAGCATCAACAGCATACACTGGTTCGGGCTTATATCTATTGACAATTTCCAACAATTGTGGTCTTGTGTATTCTTCTGAATATACAATATTGTTATTCTGTAACCACTCAATTATTTCTGGTTTTCTGGTAGTTGTGTTTGGGAGTTTGTTGATGCGTGTGTTGTGATATGGAGCGTTGTCCATTATAATTAAACTGGGTTTTGTCAAATTGGGAGCTAACTTTTCTGCAACCCATTTTTTAAAATTTGTGTGATTCATATCATCATGGTAATCACCACTTTTTGTTTGTGACTTGAACACCAAACATGCATTCTCTACAAAACCTTCATTACCTCCGGCATGGACAATAATAAATCTTTGTCCTTTGGAGACAGGCTTTAATACTCCATCTGAAATCAATCGTTTGTACATTAACAAATGCAAATAACACTAATTAACTAGACTATAAATATTATGAGATAGTTAACTAAACAATACCTTCATCATCATCCTGCCAACATTTACCAGCTGTATGACCGGAGTAATTATATGTCTCATCTAAGTAAACAATTGGTAATTTTTCTGTCTCGTCATTACGCTTTATAGTCTGAAATAAAATAATTCTATGTTACTCATGAATAAGTGTGTCACTTTAATTTAAAATACATTATGAATAGAAAATAAATGTACCTACCTGAAGATAAAGAGCGCGCCAAGCAGTTATATCGTTAAGTTCCATCAGTACTTTTCTATTGCTTTTAGTTTTTTTATATCGAAAACCAATGTTTTTTATGTGCTGTCTGAGAATTTCTCTACTGCCAGTGAATCCAATCTCTTCTTTAAGTAGACGAAGCAACTTATTCACTGTTGGTATTTCTTTTTTTACAAGAATAAAACTCATGGATCTTTCGTCTAAGAACACCAATATCAAAATTGTCCATAACAATTTTATCCTTCCTTGTTTTTCTTTTTTTCCCCGGTGTTACTATTTTACTTGACGATTCTTCAGCTAATTTCCCTTCATTTGTAATTCTTGCAACTGTTCGTAAAGATATACCTGAAAAATATATCTCATAATATGCCTACAAAATATGACCACTATCCTTGGTAAATAAAACGAGCAAACTAAGAATACTATGTATGGCATCACTTGCCTGTAGCAGCTGCAACGCGCTCATTTACTCTTTCAAATGGAATAACAGGGGCGCTAGATTGCTTTTCCTTCATAAAAAATCTCTTCACATTTAGCACCACTTCTCTAGTACCTCTATCAATTTCGGCATATTTTGAGATTTAAAAACGGCACTAAAAGCAATAAATAACGGTATACAACAACGACTTGAGCCGGCTGTCTAAACTGACGTTTTGCAAGATGGCGGCAATGACGGCGTTTAGTTCCGATTATAGCCACGTGCCAAAAGATCCATGCAGCACTGTACACTGACTAAGTCGCGGGCGACCGTTGTTCATAGATAAAAGATGAGTGAAGTAAGATATAGACAAGATGTTGGTAGGATATCTTCTAGCCGCTGCGCTTAATTAGCTATTACATCTAATTTACTCACAGCGAATGTTTTTATTGCTATTTACAGGTAGCTGGATTTTTTGACTCTTGGCCGGGTTCAAGGACATTTCCAGTCGATATGGCTGGTTTCGCTGTCAACATTGAGTTCTTAAAGCCGACTGCTACCATGCCCTACATCGCCGGTCACGAGGAGGATAAATTTTTGGTTAGCTTAGGTTTACAAATGGAAGATATTGAACCTCTTGCAGACAACTGTACTAAGATTCTCGTCTGGCATACTAAGACCGTGAAGTATAAAAAACCTACTGTAAAGATTAATCTCAAACAGTTAGGCGAATTACCTAAATATCGCAATTTTGTTAACCTTCTTAAAGAAACATCAAGGCTCGGTATGGCAAATATAGAACCAAATAACGGAACGAAACCATACATAACTCGCAATCGTAAATCCTATGAAACTCTCACTGGCCTTCAATAAACTACTTTTATTTTAAATAAACTATATTCGTTTAATAAAAATGTATATAACATTATTGAGGTTAAATAAATCATTGGTGTTTCGATTAAATAATATTTTCAAATTATGTGAGTTATAATGAGTTCTCGTGAATTATTCTTGACACTATGTTGTGAAGGTTTTTCTTTTATTTTCCGTATAAGACTTAATTGTCAATGAATCAAACAAAAATTGCCGTTAATAAGTTGTTAGTATAACGAAGCAGGCCTAAAACATAAATAATTATTTTATATATTATATTAAAATTTAATTAATGATCTCATATCAAAGCGCATGGTTGTTAAGTTATCTTTCCTCTAAAATAAAGATATCAAAAATAGCTAGTTTGTGTGTTATGCCTTTTTGTATTTGAACTCAGAGAGATTAAAACGTCCTTCCTGATTGATGGTCTTCAAAGTATTATTTTAAATGCAAATATGTTTGTTTTACAAACAATAATATTACACCGTTTTTTGTTGCAAAATAGTATCTTTGTATATTTTTATTTTATTTTACGTTGTTCTTAGCTATTTTCATACGATACAGTCATTTATTCATAATACAACAACAACATTAAAATATAATTGTGTCTTACGCAAATATCTTTCTGAGGTAAGGATGATTTTAGAACATATTACAAATTAATTTTTACTTTGAAGACTATCGTATTATAACAGATTAGCTATCAATATGTACTAACCTAGTTTCATATTTTTCGTAGTAAAAGCTTTTCCCTTTCACGTTGGGTATTATCTTGTCTCCTTAGTTACTATCTGGCAATTATATTGATTACAGTTTATTTATAATATTATTTATTATTAATAATAATAATAAGGCTTAGGGAAGTGACGACCCCAACTCCCGCTGACGTAACGGTTATGTGACAATACCGCTACGTCATCGCAGTCAGTCACCTTGCCAAGAGGTGTTAGTGCCGTGTCTCGGCAAAAATTTAAGGTGCAAAGGCCCATTACATGGTCTCACCATGAAACGGCGCCGAGTCTGGGCGTCTCCCCTTAAATGACGCCAACAAAAATGGATGATAGAATTTAAAAAAACGCGTAAAGAGCCGCTGCCTGGAGGTCCCCAGGGCACGTCTGGAGCTGACGCTGAAGGCGCCAGCCGAGTGCGAGGTGCTGTACGACTACTCAGCAGCCCCTCGCATCCATCATCCCCACCAGCTGGCTTGGTGTTGGCAGGGTCTTCGCGGGCCCAGCAATCGGCACCCGCCACTGGTGGAGTACGCCGCATGCGTTGGACAACCTAGATGAACAGCAACGCATTGGGGGCTTATTTTAGGGCGAGAGGGCGAGAAATTGAAGGTTTTGCATATCGGGCAAGGATGCATCGACTTTTTGCTGAGCTGGAGCCATCTGTAACCGTCACCGAGCAAAACCTGGCAGACCGCGTTCGGTTTCGGACCGCTATCCCCGTCTGGAGAATAAGAATTGAAGAACGTATCGCAAGGGCTAGAGCTCTCATCGGCAGACTGATATGCTTCAAGTCAGGCAATACCAGGCCAAGGATTGTGCGCATCGTCAGGATGGAGTTTGCTTGGACAAATGTTAGTTTGTCCCAGCCGGATATAATACAAAGACTGACGGAGCGCATAGACGAGCTGAAGCAGAGAATCGCTACTTGGGGAAAGCGGATTCGGCGATATACCGAGAGGTCGACACGGTTCAACCAGAATCGTCTCTTCCTGAGTGATCATAAGAGGCTCTATAAATCATTTTAGCGACCCATGATAAGCGGAACGGACCCAGCATCGAATCAGGCCGACACTGTCGCATTCTGGCGCGGCCTGTAGTCAGAGCCCGTAAACCACGAGGGCCCTTGGACGGAAGTTGTGGCGAGTCAGTGTGCGGATATTACGCCCATGGACCCCGTCATCATAACGCCGGATGATGTACTTGAGGCGGTCCGTAGGGCCCCGAACTGGAAAAGTCCGGGGCTTGATGGGCTGCATCACTACTGGTTGAAGGGGTTCCTGGTGTGTTACGCTGTGCTCGCCGGACAGTTTCAAGAGGCTCTCAACCAGAAGTCGCTCCCGAGCCTCTTCACTACTGGGGTCGCTCATTTGGTTCCTAAGGACCAGGGTACCACAGACCCAAGCTAATACCGACTAATAATAACCCCATCACGTGTCTAAAGACCATATACAAGACACTAACATCCATTTTGAGCGCGAGAATCACTCGTCACCTGGATTCAAATCAGGTGATGTTGCGCGCTCAGAATGGATGTCGGGGCGGTGGTCATGGAACCAAGGACCACTCCTCATTGACGCGGTAATTGGCAAAATGTTGAAACGCAACCGTCGGAACTTCTCCGCCGCCTGGATAGACTACAGAAAGGCATTTGACTCGGTGCTCCATACATGGCTAATGAGGATCCTCGAGCTGTACAAGATTGACTGTACAGTTAGAAACTTCCTCGAGCAGTGTATGGGGCAATGGATTACGATCCTTTGTCATCTGGGTGAGCGGATGACGGCTGCGGAAAGCCGCATAAGGATGAGAAGTGATATATTCCAGGGCGACTGTCTGAGTCCTCTTTACTGGAGGGCTCCGGGAGTGAATAAGATACACACATATAACAGTTGGGTCACGCCTGTCCTCATGTATACCTTAGGCATACTCATCAGGTGACTCAGACTGAACTCAAAGCCCTGGATAGAAAAGTCCGCACTATCAGACCTCCCATAGGATGCATCATCCGAGATCGTCGATAATGAGGCTGTACTTGCCGCGAAATTATGGTGGGCTTGGTTTTTGAGCGCGTTCACCGTGCATAATCGCAAAGTTTGCAGTCTCCGTCATTACTTCCTGGCGAGATCGGATGATCGATTCTATAATGACGTCATTTCTTGTGATAAAGAGCTTATCCCTCCATCCTTGGTCAACGAGCATTGGCAGGACCCAGCAGTATATAGCATTTCCGACCGGGAGACCGTACGGAAGAAGAAGGAGCACCACGGGAGGTACTACAGGACTCTACATAAGCCCTTTGTAGATACAGTCGCCTCCCTCCACTGGTTACGTTTAGGTGACCTCTTCGGGTAAACCGAGGATTTTGTGTGTGCAATACAGAATCAGGTTATTAAGATCAACAACTATCGGAGATACATCCGCGAGACCGCTCCGGGCTCAAATGCAGAAGGCTCCTCGATACCGCCCGCATCCATGCCGCTCGATGCCGAGGGCTTACATCTGGTTGGGCTTTTATTTATTTATGTATTTTTTGTATTTATTTTATTTTATTGATATTTATGTTTATTTATCTTTTCATTTTCATTTATAATTATATATTTATACAACCCAACCAGATGAGAAAACTATATAGATACCCCAAATAATAATAATAAATAATTAATATTAGTATTATTTAGTATATTTTATAAATTGAATATAACTGAGAGACTTCAGTAGTTCGTAAGAATGACAACTGAGGTATCGATATTCAAATTACAGTGTTAAAACATTTTTATAAAAACCATTAGTGTTCATTTTTGTAGTAATATGCTCGTATTAGAAGATGGTTAACGTTATTCGAAAAGGATATCGTACAGAAATTCGTTGCAATAAAAAAATCATTCGATTAAATTTAAATTTTAAGTTAAGAAATACATAGATGATTCCTTTAGCACTAGTTAGTACTTAAATAATTTCTTGTCATTGATTGTCAATGAAAATAAATTAATAATAAGAAAATATTAATTTCAATATAAAGCATACATGCCTATCGAATTAAGTTCGACTTTAAGTGTTATTAATTTTTTTTATAAATGACTAATATCAGAATAACGCTTACGTTCCCCGGCGTAGTAATTACAGCATACCAAGTGAACCTCACAGTTACGTCCGTTACACGTAACGTTAGTGATACTGTTGTATTTATTTTTGATTGGTGTAGGATACATAATGTTAGGATAGGCACTGATGTGCTAAGACGTCTAAGAGATTAACATTTTATTAATATAGCTTAGATTATTACAATATAGTGTTGTGGAGTTGTAATAAACAATTTGTGATGAGACCATAATAATATAAATAAGATAGGTAAATGAGTTCTAAACTACAAAATGTATGATCTTACATAGATAGATAAATTATAATATTGTATTATATAAATTAATTTGAATGTACCAACTACACACACATATTAGTTTTCTTGTTTTAAAAAAGTACTTCATTTGTTCCTTTTTAATCACTAGAATTTAAACATTTTTAACTTGTTAAGGAAATAAAGATAATTATCATTAGTATTATAGTAATGTTGTGTTATTATATTATGGATTATAATTAAAATAAATTGTTATAATTACCATAGACAGTTATGAATCAATTATTGCATACCAGTTTCTTTGCCAATATTGTAAACCCCGAATTGTTTTTTTTTTTAATGTTTTATCCGAATCGTTTTACACAAATGTGTACATTTTTATAACAACTTATTAAATTAATTAACGATAAATGTCCAAACAGATTACAGTGTGAATTCGCATTAGCATACTTAACAGTGATTGTTTAATCCTTTTATAATTTATATATTTCTGTTATTTGTGCGTAGTATTTATCAAAAAAAATTTCATAGTTGTATACAGGTGTCCCATTTTTTGTATTTATATAATCTATACATACTTGCTAAGACTATTTTCAAAACTGGATTGCTAAAGCGCATTTTTTATAATTCCCTTTGCAACGTTAAAGTTACTTATTATTTAAAACGTTATATGAATAAAATAAATTTTAGTGCGGTCTTAAAATCGAGGCCACAATTTTGCTAAAGCTACGTCATTATTATTATTTGAAGAAACAAACTGGAGGAACATGGCAGTGGCAAATAGAGATCGCCTCGTAAAAAATATTTGCTTAGTGTCATTATATATGAAAAGGGTCACAGCAGGACTGCAAAAACTACCGTGGTATCAGCTTGCTTAGTATTGTGGGTAAACTGTATGCTAAGGTGTTAATTGAAAGAGTTATGAAAGAAACTGATGGAAAAATTTGGGATGTGCAAGCGGGTTTTAGAAAGGGAATGGGGTGTACAGATCAAGTCTTTTCCATGCGCATGATTGCGGAGAAGTTTTTGGCTAAAAACCAGAAAGTTTTTTGTGCGTTCATGGACTTGGAAAAGGCTTATGACAGAGTGGACAGGAATGTGTTATGGTAAACACTGAACTCATATGGGTTGAGCGCTGATTTGATACAGGCATTGAGGTCTCTTTATAGGGATTCTAGTGCTTGTGTCAGGATCAATGGGGTCTACTCGGACTGGTTTGGCATCCGAAAGGGTGTCAGACAGTGCTGTGTGGCTTCCCCTTGGCTGTTCAACCTATTTATGGAGAGGTATTTGTAAACTTTGAAAGATGAAGAATGTGGGTTAAGAATGGGCGAGTTAACCGTCAAATGCCTTCTGTATGCCGATGATCAAGTCATATTTGCGTCATCGGCGGCTGAGTTGCAAATGATGGTTACATTAATGAACTGGGCATTAAAAGAAAGGGGAATGAAAGTGAACGCAAGTAAGACGAAAGTGATGGTTTTTAAAAGAGAGGAAAGCAAAACGGTATGTGAAATAAGAATAGAAGGAGAGTTAATTGAGCAAGTGGATGAGTTTGTGTATTTGGGATGTGTATTTAGCAGGGATGGTAGATATGATAAGGATATAGAACGACGAGTAAATGCAGGGAATAGAGTGAATGGGGCACTACACTCTATTGTGAAGAACCAGAATGTATCAAAAAAAGGCACGTATGGTAATTCATAATGCTGTGTTAGTCCCTACTTTAATGTATGGTGGTGAAAGCTGGGTGTGGCAGAAGAAGCACGAAAGTAGAATAAATGCTGTAAAAATGCGGTCTTTAAGGAATATGCTAGGGTTGAATCTGAATGACAGGGTGAGAAATTGCATGATAAGAGATAAATGTGGTATGCAAGATGACGTGACCAGGATTAGGAAAGGAATGCTTCGGTGGTTTGGTCATGTAGAAAGAATGAATGAGGAAAGAGTGACAAAACAAATTTATATGGCAGATGTGAACGGCAGAGTCGGGAAGGGACGCCCTAGAAAAAAGTTTATTGACCAAGTTGGCGATATTTTGAAAATGGGCCACGTTAAAAGTACCCTTAACCGACGAGCATGTATGCGTAGATATATGGATGTAAAGGAGGCGAAAGAGGTATGTAAGGATCGTGTCAAATGGAAGTCCGTGGTCTCTGCCTACCCCTCTGGATGACAGGCGTGAGTGTTTATGCTATGCTTCATTATCCAGTGAGAAAACAGAGGAATATGTTTGTATATGTCGCATATTTATGATAAAATCATGATTTTGATCAAAAACCCAGGCTTTTAATCAAGAATCGAAAGAATACATAGTTATTACTTAATCTTATCGTTAACTTGAACAAATCCAGTTTTTAGACCAAAATTAAATTTTTTGGTCAAAAAACATTGTTTAGGTAAATGATAAAATTTAAGCTTGGGTTAAGTAAAGTTTATTTTTATTAAAATGAAATCAGTCTAGGTTTATGATCAAAAAAACTGGATTTGTTCAGGTTAATGATAAGATTAAGTAATAACTATGGTCGCTACCGTAGCCAAGAACAGCGGGGCCGCCGGGGACGGGGGGTCTTTTGTTTGTAGCGTTGCTCATGGGGGATGTTTGCCATAGTTTCCACGCTTTGCAAGCAGGTTGGCACCTGCAGTTTTTTTATTGTAAAATTGTTGTTATCA